TCACTTGGGTGGGATATTCTGGTGGAAAGCGTCTTCTGAGGGATTCCAGGCAGAGCAGCTGGACGAGGTGAAGAAACGAACATCTGATGCGCTCAGCTCCTATGTTGGGGGCAGCCATGGTGACTTTGGTTGCAGTGTTGCAGGAGGCATTAATGTACCAATATCTAGTTCTAAATCATCCCTCCAAGGCACTGGTACCAAAGCCTTCCAGCCAGAAATTCATCTGTCTATTACCAAGACAGGTGGCCCACCTGGAGTGGATTCCCTCACAGCATGGAAATCTGGGCTACTGGCCAGTAACAAAACCTGGTCTGTTATTGACAGAGGTTCTCAGCTGATTCCAGTGTGGGACATAATCCTGTCCAATCACAGACAAGATTTTAAAGATGTTTATCAAATGAGGAGCAGCCTCATACATGCTTATGAAGCCCTAACAGACCTAAGTGTCAGTACATTGCTTGGGGAGGAGTTCGACTGTGCAGTGGATGAGGCCAGATCGTTCTTAGAGGACATGAAGTCCTGGGAAGTCTCTGGGGATGAAGAACAGCTGGTGAAACTGATGAACTTCAAACAGAAGCTGAATGAAAAAACAAGAAGCCCTAGTGTATGGATTAACATTTGCCTGTCAGATAAGGGGCTTCAAAATTTCCTGGAGAATACAGTTTTACTATGCAAAAATGTACCTGCACAAAACACTATGTTCACCAAGTCTCTGCTGCACTGCCTTCTGGCTTCTTCTATCTATTCAGTTAAAAATTTCCCCAAATCTTCTTTCATTATGCAATGGATTTTCCAGTCAGCAGAAGAACAAGCAGAACAGATCTACAGCTCAGATCTCACAGATTTTATTAAAGTTTTACAACAAATGGAAAGTGATATCAAGGAAGCTACTGCTGCCTCTATGAATTCTCCAGCAGCACAGCCTGAAGCAAAAAGAAAAGCTACTCTGATTCTCAGTTTATCCTTCCATTCATTACTGCAGGCTCTGAGAAAGAGAGCCGAGACAGATACAGAACTGTTATTACTCTCAGTTGCAGCGAGCACAGGATACCGTGTGGAAAGTCACATTTTTCAGAATCTCCTTGGGTGCCCAGAAATTAACTTCATGTTAAAAGAAATGCGAACAGCACATGAGAGATATTTGACTCTTAGGGATCAGGATGTTTCCAGAGCTCAGGCTTTCCTGTTGTTGACAGGTCTGACAGTAGCAGCTAAATATAAAGTTATGGCCCCTGAAGAGAAGAAGAAATGTTTGACTTTCATTGAAGATCACATGCAAAACTCGCTGTCACGGGAAGTTACTTTTGTCCTTACAAAGCACAGAGCACTCACTGATTGTAAAGCACTGGAAAGAGACTTGAATTCCCTTGTAAATGGAAATTTTGAAGCCACAAATGATGATCAGCAGAAGGAGTATATAAAGAAAGAACTAGAAAACGTATTTCAAGAAACCAAGCTGGTAAATTCACCAGCATCAACATCCAAAGAAATGCAATCCAGCAACATTAAGACGTATGAATTTCCCCAAACTCCAGGGTTTCTCAAATTAATCAAGCAACTTAAACTTGAAAATTTCTATCCAAATAAAATGGGGGTGGCAGACTTCCAGAAAATTCACAAAGCATTTTTACATGACAGCTACCCCAGCAATGAAAGTGAGCTGCCATTTTATTTTTTGGATAAGCTGTTGATGCTGGACTATCGGGTAAGATATTTGATTTGCAACGATGACAGTAAAACAAAACAAGGCATAGCCAATACACTGACCACCAGCGATGATGTGGATGAACCTTTAGATAATTTAGATGACATTTTTAATGATATTGATGAGGAATCTAATGAATTTGCTAAAAGTAATGAAGGTCAGGTGCATCCCATGGACATCCTGATGGCAATTTTTCACTGTGCAGATGATTTCATGAGGCAATATATTTCAACAAAGCTTTCTTTATGTCAATTTGCACTTCCGCTTTTGGTGCCAGATCCCCGCACTTCACAAATAGAATTCCCTCTTTGGTCCTTTTGCCACGTTAACAAGAAATGGCAGAGTCATGAGAAATTTCAAAACAAGGCTGGGATTAGGAAATGTAAAGATAAATTGATTTATCAAGCAGACCTACCAGTGGTGTCTTTCATAAGATTTGGTGCATCTTCTTTTTCTAAATCTCAGCTCTTAAATACACTGTTGAGTAAGCCAAAGCATAGTATTTTTTTCCATCGTCACTGTAGAGGCAGTAGTAAAAACTGCCTCTTGATGGAAGGTGTTGTAGAAATCACCTGGTATTGTCCAGGTAGAGATGATAACGACAGGTTTGACAATTGCATCGCATTCACTAATCTTCATGGAGATGCAAGAGAACATGAGCAGCAAGTCAAATTTTTACAGGAAATAGCTTCTGTCACTGTGGTTCTCTTGTCGGACACTGATCGGAATGAAAAGGGCATGAAGGTTTTACAAGACCTCCTAAAATCCCCCAAACCTTTCATCTTTCTCTGTATTGACAAAGAGAGAATATCAGTTAACAAGTTTGGAAAGCGAGTAAAAATAGCTGTTAAGAACCAGAATGAGGCAACATTAATGGAGGAACTGACCACTGCAATTAAATGTGCTGTAGAAACTTCAAATATTTCTTGTAGTCTAGGTAAATGTGCAAAAATTGCTCGAAATCATGGATTCTGTGTTGACGAAGACAAAAGAGAGTGCAAGGAAGGCAAAGAACTGGCACAAAAAGTAATGGATATTGTGAAACAGAAAAATATTTTAGATACTAAGGACAAATTATTACCTCTCCAAGGAGAGTTGTGGCACAAGTGGTGTAAAAAGGATAAAGAACGTACCCATTTTCAGGACAATGAGAACATGGGCATTGAACAGCACCTAAGCAAAATAAAATCAGAAAAGCATGCAATACGACAGGATCAGTTACAGAGAGCGTTCCCCCTGAATAAGCTAATGCAGTCAGTGCTTTCAACTCTGAATTTACCTTCCCAGAAAACCAAAATGTATTTTTTACAGTGGCTGAAAGTATTTATAGCTGATCTGTCTTCTGATCATCTTGCAGAGCTTCACCAAAAATACCATGATTTGTGGTCACAAAACCAAAGAGGAGAAAATAATGACTTGCAAAAACAATTAGAAAAATTATCACATGAAATAAATGAATCTACTTTTGGTCTTGAACATCTTTTGAGAGAAGTGGGTCAGATTTATGAAGCTTTGGATGCACAGCCTGAACAGGATAAATGCTTTCTTGAACTACCAAAAATTGTAGCTGATTTGATGGTTTCAGGGTATCCTATTGAGCTGCTGGATGGTGACACTTCTTATGTGCCATTGAAATGGGTCGGAGCCATCTTTGACAAGTTAATTGAGAAATTAGGAGACAAAAAGGTGTTTGTTCTTTCAGTACTTGGCATCCAGAGCACTGGGAAGTCAACACTGTTAAATGCCATGTTTGGACTTCAGTTTAAAGTCAATGCAGGTAGGTGCACAAGGGGAGCATTTATGCAACTAGTTAAGGTGGATGATGAGCTCAGAAAAGAGCTGAACTTTGACTTTATGGTGGTTATTGACACTGAAGGACTTTGGTCAACAAAGCTAGAAAATAGATCAGCACTCAGCCATGATAACGAGCTAGCCACTTTTGTCATTGGTCTTGGCAACACAACTTTGATCAATATTTTTGGAGAGAATCCTTCTGAAATGCAAGATATCCTACAGATCGCTGTCCAGGCATTTCTGAGAATGAAGCAAATAAATCTCTCCCCAAGCTGTTTGTTTGTGCACCAAAATGTTGGAGACATAACTGCAAATGAAAAGAATATGGAAGGACGAAGACGCCTTCAGGAAAAATTAGATGAAATGGCAGTTTCTGCAGCCCAGCAAGAGTTCTGTGATGTTACCTGCTTTAGTGATGTTATCCAATTTGATGTGAACACCCACGTTCATTACTTTCCTCACCTCCGGGAAGGAGACCCACCAATGGCACCTCCAAACCCCAGTTACAGCCAAAGGGTGCAGGAACTAAAGAGGGAAATTCTCATGGCTGCCAAAGAAAAATCTGAAGGTAGTTTTCTAAGCCTGTCAGAATTAAAAACACGCACTCAGGACCTGTGGGAGGCTTTGTTAAATGAGAATTTTGTATTCAGCTTTAAAAATACACAGGAGATTGTTGTATACAGCAGACTGGAAAACAACTATAACAAATGGACCTGGGAACTGAGAAGTTTCATGCTTGATTTGCAGAACAAGCTGAACATCCAAATTCAGAATGGAAAAATCTCCAAAATAGATAGAGTAGATCTTGAAAAAAGAGTTCAGGAAAAATATGATGCCACTGAAAAGGATCTAGAAAGGTATTTTAGTGAGGACAAGGACTGTAACATACTGATTCAATGGTGGGGGGGAATTAAAACAAAAATGAACTTTTTCAGACAAGAACTGATTGACAAAATTTGTCAAAAGGGTCAAGAATTTATCCATCTAAAGAATCGTCAAAGCAGTTTTGAACAAAGGAAATCAACTTATAAAGATGAGTTGCTTAGAAAAAGCAAGGAGTTGGCGCGACATTTCAGAGATAAGGAATTGAGTGAAAGTGAGCTTAGAGATAGCTTTATTGGTATGTGGAAGGAATGGGTTATTGAGGTGTCCTCTGCTGCCCGTGTTGAGGAGCCCAATTTTAATGCTGAAATGGAGATTTTCCTTTGCAATCATTTTAGATCAGAACACAATATAAGAAACAGGATTATAACATCCTCTGAATGGACTCTTTTTCCTCTGAACCCTTCTGAGCACATCTCAATGAAGAGGCGATGGTATGGACTGAAGATTACTAAAGAATGTGATGTTGAGAATTTAAAGACAATGGCAGCACACCTAGAGCAGCATATCTATGAATACATTGAGAACAAAGCGAGTGAGATAATGAATTACAGTCCCAGTTACTTTCATGAAATAGTGGAGTTAATAAGCAGAAAGTTGGAATCGGATTCAGAGGATTACAATTTTACATTAACACACTTATACGAAGTGGATGTATCTCTATATTTATGCCAAATGGCAACAAGGAAGTTGAGAGAGACATTCAAAGCATTCCAGAAATCAGATGATCCAGTCCGGTATCTTGAAAGTAAGAGAGAGGAATTCTTTAGCTCTTTTAAAATCGCCTGCCAAGGAGCAACATCAGTCACAACTTTTGCTGATATTTTATGCAGCAATCTTAAATCTGCTATCTGCCATGCAGTCTATGACAAGACTGCCATTGACATAGCAAATGAGATAAGGTCTGACAATCCAATCTTGAATGGCAATAGAAGCAAACTGGAACTATTCATTCTGTATTGTCTTTTAGATCAGGAAGATTTGGAAAAATACCAGGAGTATATTTATAACCCAAGTTACTATATGGAGGATTTTATCAGACGAGCTGTTGATAGGTATTGTTTCAACAAGAAAAATCCAAAATTGAAAAATTTCTTAAATTTAAATCTTGATTCTTTCCAGACTCTTGTTCTTTCGGCAATTCATGAATCAACTAAAGTTGTTAACGATAAACATGGTAACGTAGCCTCCTGGTTGGATGAATTTTGTACCAGGCTTGGAGATGATATGTACCTTCCCAGAAGCAATCTGACAAGCATTGAACATCAAGAGACAAAAGACATACAATTTCTTAAAGAAGTGGCGAGTGAGTCACTGATCCCTGCCATAGAACAGCTGAAACAAACATTCTCTGAGATTGATTTGGATCCGTTTGTCTCAAAGCCTCATGAAATCCTATTTGAGCAGCTCAGTGGGTGTTTGAAGCAATGTCCCTTTTGCAAGGCTGTCTGCATGAACACAATTCCTGGTCATGATGGAGATCACAGAACTCGTTTTCATCGTCCTCAGGCTCTGGCTGGCATCCAGTGGGAAGGAACAAATCATCTAGTCACTGACATTTGTACCAGCCTTGTAGCAAGTGACTGCAAAATAGTGCTTGATGGAAAAATAATTCAATGTAAAAATTATCGAGAAGTAGGACCTGACTATGCAAATTGGGACATCAAACCAGATACCTTACAACTGTCTTATTGGAAATGGTTTGTCAATCATTTCAGATCTGACTTAGAAAAAATCCATGATGGAAAATTTGAAGGCAAGGGGGCAATCCCGGCTGATTGGAAAAACTTACACAAGAATGATGTAGCCATGGATATACTATTTTTAATGTTGTGCATCTTTCAGGGTAAGAATCTATTGGCTGTCAGAGATTCACATTGTCCAAAGGATCTAAAAGAATATTTGCAAACAATATTGCTTGAATAGCTTTAGGAAGGACCTTTTTCAATCAAAATTAAAGTGAAGTGTATGTGGAGAGATTGTCATATTTTATTTTTTTAAAAACAGTAATTTTGTAGGGCTCAAGGAGAAGTTCTGTGAAATGTCCCAAAATATTATTTTCTCCCTCCTCCTTATGGCACCCTTTTAGATACCTGAAAACTGCTATCATGTCCCCTCTCAGTCT